CTCTAGGCCCAGCTTCATGGGTGTGTGACCCGGGCAGTAGCACAGGGTCCCACACTTTAAAGGGCCCACACTTGGTTTAAGGTTCCACTGTTGCCATCTTGAGATTCTTAATACCCTTTAAACAATAGGCACCACATTTTCAGTTTGCACTGGACCCACAAGTTAGGTAGAGGGTCCTGCCTATCTCATTTGTATGTACCTTAAGCTCGTGACATCAATTTTTCAAGTCATATGGGTTTAATATTTATGAAACCCTCAGTGGTTCAGAAGTTCCCTAAGGAAATATACTCCAAACCTCAGTGGAACATGGCACGAAAAGCTTTTCATCTTCTGTTACCTCCCCTACCTAAATTGACGCCCCTAAAACTTCCTTAGCCCCATCTCTCTTCTTCCTCCTTTCCCTCCAAATGTTAAGCCCCAGCTATTGCACTACTTGCTGCTTCTAAACTTGAGAGCTCACCAGCCACTAGGCACTTGCATATCCTGCTCCCATCCTGCCCAGGGTGGTCCTCTGTCTCTCTCCCTGGCTAACTCCAACTTACCTTATAATTCTGAATTTAGCTGTCACTACCTCTGGGAAGTCCTCCCTGACCTTCACAAAGCTGAGATCTGGGATTCTCATAGCGCTCCGTGCTACGAATATCTTAGCACTTATCTTGCTATTATGTTTTTCTATTTGTTTTTCTGTCTCCCTCATTAAACTGTGAGCTCCTTATAGACAGAGACTATTTCATTTTCTGAGGTGACAGCCACGCCTAGCTCCAAGAAGGTACAAAATAAGTTCCCTCCCATGAAATGAGTGAATGAATGAATGAATGGGTCCCTGGTTTAAGTGGACAGTGCATGAGGAGACCTATGAGGTTTTCTTTGGTCTCACCAAGGAGAGCAGTACTTTCATTATTGAAGAAGACATTCCACAGCTCCCTCTGGCAGAGGCATGTGGATTCCCCTTCCAACACGTTGAGGGAACGTGTCGAGCCCCCTTTTTCCTTTCCAGGAGAGTTAAATAGTAGCTCTTTGAATTTCTCACCTTTAAGAGGAGTACTGAGGTCTCTCCTGAGACAGCTGCTTGCTGAGGTCACGGAAGTAGTTCAAGTGAGACCTTCCCTCCCCTAAAGGACTGTCTGGCTCTATACAACTTCCAGATCAAGTGTCTCTTGCAAACTATCATATGTAGAATGGATAAACAACAAGGCCCTACTGTATAGCACAGGGAACTATATTCAATATCCTGTGATGAACCACAATGGAAAAGAATATGAAAAAGAATGTATATATAAGTATCACTGACTCACTTTGCTGTACAGCAGACATTAACACAACATTGTAAATCAACTCTACTTCAATAAAATAATCTTTTTTTAAAGTGTCTCTTCCTTCAACCTTCCTAGTCTACGTTCTATTCACCCTTTGCAAGGCCCAACCAAAACACTAACTCCCCACAGTTTTAATGTAATCAATCCCTCCGTTTTCCCATTGCATTTTGTTTGTACCTGTAAGGATACTTGGCAAGCTTCTAACATCACAGTGACGTGTGGACTAAGCTAGACGATAGCGCTGGGAGCAAACTGTTCTAACGTTTGCAGCCTTTATGTCTGTATGTCTTACCAACACTCACCACTCAAAGTAACATTGGGTGATTTGGATTCCTAACAGATGGATTGAAATACAATTTGTCCTAGAAAAGAAGAGATTTGAGAAGCCCTCAAGTTAAGACTATTATAGAGTAATTGTCAAAGTTTCATTTCAGATTTGGAGCAAGAGAAATACTGGTTGGATCTACATTTCTTAAAGACAGGTTATATAGGAAGGAAGAGGAATGTGAGATAAGGCTGTTTAAGTGCAAGAGCGGTTAGCTTTACAAGCCTGTAAAGCTGTCACATTCTTATTGTGTAGCTTAAACATGGATCTCAAGGGACCCCAGAGTCATCCCCAGAGATGTCAGACATGGGCCCTTAATCAGAAATAATAATGAACACCGAAACTGAGTAGGACCCTGTGAGGCCCTCCCGTGTACAAAAACCCCTCCATGTCCCCCGTTTCTTGTTTGTAGAAGAAGGTTTTAGTCTCCTAGGCCTTTCCTGAGTTCCAAAGAGCAGGCACAGGCACTAACCAATTAGGGAAGTGAGGGAATGCAGAAACAAGGGAAAAGTAGTTCAGCAAGAAAAGTAATAATAGTTCAGTGATAAAACAGAAGCCCAGCTCCCCCCAAGGGACATCCTTAACAATCTGACATAAATCTTCGAGTTGTTATGCAGAAACTAAGACGCACCTCCCCACCACAGGTGGAGGATAGTGATTAAGTAGACCCCAGATGATTAATATTCCTGAAACATCACCCTCTTACCTCACCGCCAACCAATCAGAAGAAGGTCATGCTTCCTCCGCCCCTCATCCCAAAAGGTGCCTTTAAAAACCCTTCCCTGAAAGCCATTGGGGAGTTTGGGACTTTTGAACATGAGCTGCCTATACTCTTTGCTTGGTACCTCCAATAAATGCTGTCCTTTCCTTCACCACCATCTGGTGTCGGTACATTGGCTTTGCTGTGCCGTGGGTAAGCTGACCCCAAATTCAGTCCAGCAACAACATCATTGTGGGAGTTAATCAGAAATACCAAACAAGAAGATCTCAGGGTTTTCTTTGTTTTGTTTTGTTTTCTCACTACAACGTTCTGTTTTCTTCCACATTAGAGATAATTTTCTGTTTGGGATCTTCCATTTAATATTTAATCATGCTCATAGCCACTTCGAACCAGCTCTAAGACAAGCATTAGTGCTTGAGAAGGAATGGAAATAGAGAATCTGGATGGGGTGTACTGCATTCCAAGTTCCAACTCCCAGCAAGTTCCCATAGTTAGCTCCCACTTTGCCTTCCCCACCAGAATTGCAGATTCATTAGGCAAATGACTCATTGGTTCAAGGGAATCTTGTATTTCAGAGAGCTTACGGGGGGCTTCCCTGGTGGCACAGTAGTTAAGAATCCACACGCCAATGCAGGGGATACAGGTTCGAGCCCTGGTCTGGGAAGATCCCACATGCTGTGGAGCAACTAAGCCTGTGTGCCGCAACTACTGAGCCTGTGCTCTAGAGCTTACGAGACACAACTACTGAGCCCACGTGCCACAACTACTGAGCCCATGTGCCACAACTACTGAAGCCCGTGTGCCTAGAGCCCGTGCTCTGCAACAAGAGAAGCCACTGCAATGAGAAGCCCTCATACTGCAACAAAGAGTAGCCCCCGTTTGCCAACCAGAGAAAAGCCTGTGCACAGCAACAAAGACCCAAGGCAGCCCAAATAAATAAAATAATTTATTTAAAAAAAAATCTTGAGTGCTTAACTGAGATGCTTGGCTTACACAGTGATTACTAGAGGCTAACCTAGGACAAGGGCTCTTCCAGACCAAACACTAAATGGGAGGAAATAACCCCAAACTGGAGTCCTATCTCTCACTATCTCTTAACACTCTGTGCTGGGTCTTGCAGATGTTACCCCCCAAAACTGGGTTCGCCTCTTGGTGGGTGTGGAGCTGAAAGACAACCAAAACAAAGATCAGGAAAAGGAAGGTTGTATTACTTGCAGCAAGTAAGGAGAGCACTGGGGAATCTTCCCCAAAGCAGTGTCTTCTCAATAGCAAAATTGGGGAAATTTTAAGCTAAGGGTACATGCATAGTCATGAAGCGGCTTGGCGGCCACAGAGTCCAAGCTTTGGTTGATTGAAGTCCTGAGGGTCAGAAAAGGTCGACATCATCATCCCTTAGAGGGTGGTTGAGCGCTCGAGGGGGGTTTTAAATTCTGTGAAACAGCTTAAGAAAGTGTTTCAGGTTAATCTTTACCATTGAAACAGAACTGGGAGTCTTTACAACTGATTTATCTTCTTTTTTTTAGAAATTTATTTTTATTATTTATTTATTTATTTATTTTTGGCTGTGTTGGGTCTTTGTTGCTGCGCGCAGGCTTTCTCTAGTTGCGGCGAGCGGGGGCTAGTCTTCGTTGCGGTGTGCAGGCTTCTCAGTGTGGTGGCTTCTCTTGTGGAGCACGGGCTCCAGGCGCCTGGGCTTCAGTAGTTGCGGCACGTGGGTTCAGTAGTTGTGGCTCACGGGCTCTAGAGCGCAGGCTCAGTAGTTGTGGCACACAGGCTTAGTTGCTCCACGGCGTGTGGGATCTTCCCAAACCCGTGTCCCCTGCATTGGCAGGCAGATTCTTAACCACTGTACCACCAGGGAAGTCCTACAACTGATTTATCTTTGCTATTGTTACTTCTCTTGCCTGATAACAGTTTGTTCTTGTGTTCCCTTAAGATCATTATTGCTGAGGCCTGTTCAAGGACAAGCACTGTGGTCAGTCTTAGATCACAAAATGTCTTAGGCCAAAAATGGCTTCTCTTATGTCAAGAAAGCCACGCCTTGTTCTCTTTTTCCCGGGACTCCTTACCTTATTCACTTACACAGAGACCGTGTGGCAGTAATAGGCTTGATGATTGTTTAGAGCTGCAGTTATGATTTAAAATGCTACCTGAAGCACAGCAAGGATGTCCTTGACACGCAGCCTGTTTTCTGGGAAAAGATTACTACCACAGTAATTGAGCTGGGAAGCGGAGACAAATTGCTCTCGGCAGCTTCAGCAGTGTTTCAAAGCACTGCAGTTGGCTGGAATCACCCCTATCGTTTCTCCCCCCTCCATCCAGTCTACAAGATAACAGTGATGGCACCTACAGATTATCTGCAAGATACAAGTGGAAGGAGAAAACAACCCCACAACCAACTAGACTGTAAAAGAATCTCGAATCCATGACAGAGTTACACAAACGACCAAATGAAAGAGGAACTCCACTGGGGGCCGCCTACGCGACCGGCCGAGAGTGCAAGATGATTTATCTATTTACAATGGGCCGGCGGCGCCAGCAGCTGGCCGGAGCCCGCGGTGACATCACGGGGCCCGGGCGCCCGTCACGTGGTCCGCGAGCCGCTCCGCCCCCTCCTGCTCCTCCTCCTTCTCCCGCAGCCTTCCGAGCGCTGGGTCCGGCGGAGGCAGCCGCTCCGAGCTATCGGGGGAGGCGCGGAGCAAGGGCCGGCGGGCGGCGAGCGGGGCTGGGAGCGCGAGCGGGAGCGGCCGAGGAGCCGGCAGTAGACGCGCGGCGGGCCCGGACCAACGCGGCTGAAGCTCCTGCAAAGTTGGGCGCGCGCTCGCGCCACTGCGCCGGCGGCCCGAGCGATGAAGATGGTGGCCCCCTGGACGCGGTTCTACTCCAACAGCTGCTGCCTGTGCTGCCATGTCCGCACCGGCACCATCCTGCTCGGCGTCTGGTACCTGGTGAGCGCGGCGGGCCTTGGCGAGCCCCGGGGCGCACCTGCCAGGGAGGAGGGCGGGCGCCCCGCACCTCGCAGGGACCGTGGCCCGCGCCCCCGCTTCGCTTTTCACGACCTCTAGCTGGTTCCCGGTGCGGCTTCGGGGTTGGGTGATGCCAGCACTAATCCGCCTAAAGTTATATTATTAGAAACTTAATTCTCCGGGCGAGCGGGTCAGCGATGCCCCGGGCTCAGCCAACCTGTGGCGAGGGGTGCAATCAGGGCCGGGAGTTCGGGGCGTTTCGGGGGTGCGGGAAGGCAGGGGGCGCCCAGGGCAGGGAGCGCCGGAAAGCTCTCAGCTGGGAGCCGGCTCGGCCGTGGGGAGGTCCGCGGTTTCCGGTGAAAGTGCACTCGGTGGTCAGAGAACTCCGATCCGTCTGCGGAGCACGTGCTTTCCTTTCCTTTCTTCTTAGCAGCACCCGCTGGGCTTTGTGTTTCGACGGGTCCCGACAAACGTCGAGGCGGTGACCGGCACCTCGTGCTACCCGCAGTTGTCGGCCCGGGTTGCGGGCCCGCGTGCCTATTCTCCCAGCCCGCATCTGGCCTCGTGTTTGCTGTCCAGTCTCCTGCGCACCTTCACATCCCGAGTGGAAATGGTTGGGGGCTCTTTACCCACACGTTTGTTGTAAAGCTCTTACTCTAGGAAGGGATTTGCCTGTGATTTATTGCGTTTCAATCTGCCTGGGGCAGCCATTTTACACCCACTGGCTTTCCTGCCCCTTTACAGATGATCCCTGTACCTTCTTAGCCGACACCGGAGGAGGCAAATCTGGTTTGTCTTTAGGTTGGAGCTTTTAAGATCTTATTTGTATGGGGAGCAGTGATTATCAGGGGCAGTGAGGGAATCTTGCCCTGTGCCAGCTCCCGCTTGGTTGTTGGCCCCCCGAAGACTGCACTGAGTCGGATTCCACTGCATTTCGGTTTTGGTCACATCATGATGGAGAGTTAGACCCGAGCCTTTTTGCAGTGAATATCTCTGCATGATGAGGAAACACCTTAAAAGTGGTAATAAGATGGCATATAGAACTTTTCGGTGGGAATAAATTCTTCTTAGTCGTCATAGTTTTTTGGTCAGTTCATAATTCAGTTTTTTGATATATATGGACATTTTGCCGAATCGTGAACTCGTTTGTTGTGTCATTTTAAGCAGAACGTCCCCCCGCCCCACATGGCGTTCTCTGTGCTATTTATAGTTTCAAGTTTCCTTTAGTCTGTGCCTATCACAGGCCACACAATAGAAATATTTGGCCTTAAAAGCTTTCAAACAGATCTTTGGTGTGTGTGGGTTCTTACTGTGCGGTGTGAATGCAGATAGAACATCTGCGTATTGGCTCAACCCTGATTTTGCTAAAAGCAAAGAAATCTTTACAGAAATTTAAAAGGTTAGTGGGTGGCCTCGAAATAGTGCTTTTATTGATGATCAAGACAGATAATTTTATACACATGTCTTGTGTCCTCCTTGAAAATGTTTAAATCTGCAGACTTGCAAGTACATCAGTGAATGTAATTTGTAAAATCTAGGGCGCTGCATTAGGCAAGTGGACTACATGATCTACAGGAAAGATAAATCTACTTTGAGCCCTGCTGTTGGCTGTAATCCAACTAACCAGTATTGGTGTGATAAAAGGAGAGCACTCACGTACTCTGCCTATGGCTTGAGCATGCTTTCTGGGGGAAAGTAGTTATTGGTATGCACGTTTTAGCATTTGGAAATATATGGCCTTTTGAAAGGTAATTAGAAAGCTTTCCAGCAAATGTGAATAAGAATGCCGCTTTAGGTAAACCTCATATCCTGGAAACCTGCCGGTCATCTTTATAAGTCTTTTGCATTTCACAAAACAATTTAAACTTTTAAAAAAAAAAAATAGTGAGTTTCCCTCATACCTTTGAATATAATTTGGTTATCCAAAACATTGATTAACATGACAGTTTTTAAGATGAAGGAGCCAAAGAATAAGGCATCTCTTCCTCCTTACCTTACCCCCTCACCCCACCAGCCATCTGGCTGAGATGGGGTTACTTATCAGAAAGGGGGAGAGTTTTCAGGAAAACAGAAGGGTAGGAGTATAGATAGGTATTCAAAAAAGAGTCCACTAGAAAGGATAGGTAAAGTGGATCTTTTTTTACACATTTTCTAATTGTTTCCTACCATGATCATTTACTAAGGTCCTGTGTTCCAGGGACTATACTAGATATCTTTTTTTTTTCTTTTTTTTTTTGGCCGCATCCCACGGCTTGTGGGATCTTAGTTCCCCGGCCAGGGGTCAAACCTGCAGCCTCGGCAGTGAAAGCACAGAGTCCTAACCACTGGACCGCTAGGGAATTCCCTAGATATCTTGACTTGAAAAAAGCCAAAACGAACAACGTAAGAACTGTGAGTTGAGTTTATTCAGTGTCTTACTGTGTAAGGTAACCCAGAAGACAGCCTCTCAGCTCTGAGAAACCGTTCTGAAGAGGTAAGGGAGGAGAGGAGCCAGGAAATATGAATTTTTTGCTGTGAAAAAACCTGTAGTCGAAATCAAAAGGTGACTATTAATCACAAAGAACAGGCGTCTCAAGTTGATGATTTTAGTGCTTTTCTATGTATGGGAAGATGCAAGAATCTGGGGTCACTGAAATTTTTCCTTAGATATGTATCTTCACTATCTTGGGGCAGGCATCGGAAGCACAGACTGCTTCCTGTTTGTCTCCATCCTGAATTCCCCTCAGGCCCCCAGTCAGTGGGTGACTACAGTGGCTAATGGCTTGATCCTTGGAGAACTGGAATAGTAGGCAACATTTTTCTCTACAATGCTTTTTTTAAAATTTTATTTTTAAAAACTTTTTAAAATTTTTGGCCGCGTGGCACCGCATGTGGGATCTTGGGTCCCCGACCAGGGATCAAACCCACGCCCCCTGCAGTGGAAGTGCAGACAGAGTCTTAACCTTTGGACTGCCAGGAAGTCCCCTCTCTGCAGTGCTTTGCATAAGCTTAATTTTTATGTCTGGGTGAGGTAGATTTTTTTATTCCCGTTTCATAGATGAAAACTGAGGCTAAGAGACCTTAGGTGATTTACTTAAGATTGGCTTGTGGTTTGAGTGATGTTTCGGTCTGTGCTGTTTCCACAGTTTAACCTTTTAAAAGTTGAGTGTGTGTTTTGTTTTTGCCTTGGAATTATAAAGGTTTCCTTCAGTCCAGTAAATAAAAAAAGCATATTGATTTCAGGTATTTGTATTAGAGATCTGTTTGTTTTGCTTTCTTTTAAGTTTTCCTTTTTTAAATTGAGGCATAATTTACATATGGTGAAAATCACAGATATTAGGTGTACAGTTCATTGCCATGACCAATGCATGCACCTTTGTAACCCACACCCTTAGAGAACATTTCCAAAGCCCCAGAAAGTTCCCTTGTGCCCCTCCACAGACACCCCGACCCCATAGGTGAGTTTTGCCTATTCATATAAATGGAATTATACTACTGTATGTATTCTTTTGTATTGGGTTTCTCTAACTTAGCATAATGTCTTAGATTCATTCATGGTTTTGGAGTGTATCAATAGATTGTACCTTTTTATTGCTGAGTGTTGTTGTATGAATATACCACAGTCTGTTTATTCATTTGCCAGATGATGGACATTTGGGTTTTTTCCATTTTGGGGCTTTTATGGATAAATCTGCTCTGAACGTTCTTGCAAAAAAGACTTTGTGGACATTTGTTTTTATTTCTCTTGAATAAATACCTAGCAGTGGAATTCCTGGTTGTTGTGTGGTTTTTTTTTGTTTTGTTTTGTTTTGTTTTTTGCAGTATGCGGGCCTCACTGTTGCGGCCTCTCCCGTTGCGGCCTCTCCCGTTGCGGAGCACAGGCTCCGGACGCGCAGGCCCAGCGGCCATGGCTCACGGGCCCAGTCGCTCCGTGGCATGTGGGATCCTCCAGGACCGGGGCACGAACCCGTGTCCCCTGCATCGGCAGGCGGACCCTCAACCACTGCGCCACCAGGGAAGCCCCGTTGTGTGTTTTAACTCTGTAAGAAACTGCCAAGGTGTTTTCCAAGTTGCCATTTTACACTCCAGGCATCAGTGTATGAAGTTCAGTGGGCGTGTAGTGGTAGCTCCTGGTGGCTTTAGTTTGAGTTTCCCTTATGACTAATGAGGTGGAACAGTTTATCTTTGCTTCTTGGCTAATTATATATCTTCCTTTGTGAAGTGCTACTGATTGCCAATTTTTTAAATTGGGTTTTGTCTTTTTTTTTCCTACTGATTTGTAAGAACTCTCTATATTTTGGATACCAGTCCTTTGTTAAACATATACCTTGTGAATATTTTCTCAGTGTGTGGCTTGCCCACTCATTTTCTTAATGGTATATTTTGATGAACTGGAGGTTTTAATTTCAATTAAGTTCAACTTGTCATTGCTTTCTTTTATGGTCAGTACTTTCTGTGTTCTAAGAATCTTTGCCTACCCTGAAGTTGTAAAGATATTCTCTTATATTTTCTTCAGAAGCCTTATGGCTTTAGCTTTTATATTTACATCTGTGGTCTATCTCTAAGTTTTGTGTTAACGATGTGAGGTAGAGGTTTGTGTTTATTTTAAAAGGCAGTTTAATCATTAAACCTAAAAAAAAGTTGATTTATCACATAACCTTTAATAGCTACAAATGTTTTTAGAAAGACAAGTAAGGTGCCTATCCATCTTCACAGAGAATGAGGACTGACTTGTCCCGGTTTCCAGAGGGATCGTGATATGAAAGAAATACTTAAAGTAGAATGATTGCTATGCAGGCTTCTGAGGTTTCCTCTCCTTCTTCAACAAAACTTAATATTCTAAGCCTGAATCCATTAACTTTCTCCCCAAATTTGCACATACTCGAGTCTCTCTTGTCGTGGTCCAAACACGGGTTGGAAAAGAATTTCCAGACACAAGGCAGAATGTAAAGAACATAGAATTTGTTAGAGGGAAGGGTCGCTGCCAGAAGAGCAGGCCGACT